AAAACCATCGTTGTTAAAATTAGAAATCACAGGGCCTCCCCTGGTGGCGCAGCGGTTGAGAGCTGGGCTGCGAGGCTGCCTGCAGTCTCTGCAGCACCGGTTCATTACCCCGGCCACCGACAAGGATCCCACCAAAAAAAAAAAAAAAAAAAATTAGAAATCGCAGCACAGATGTTTTCAGGATACACCTGAACATATGAAACAGATATTAATAGTTTCACCACCTTTTGAAATGCCAATCCAATCTAACTTGGCTCTGCTTTCTATTATGTCTCTTTTATGAAGCTCAGTACCTTGGGAGTCCAGTAATATTGGCTACCAAAGCCAGCAGAGTACCTAAATCAGCTTCCTGCCCTGTTTCTGTTATCTTTAGTATTTCTCAGAGCTAGATCAGGTCAAAAGAATTCCTAAATCACCATGAGAATCTGGCACTGCAGGTCAAATTCATGGACTCCTGGCCTAGAAAACCTTGACTCCTCATGCTTGATCCTCTGTACTTAATTGTTTAAGGGGCCTATTACCATGCTATCACCATCTTAGAAAAGGAAAGTATGGTGAAGGAGATTATATCCAGGGATTATATGCAGGGATTCTTTTTCAAAGGCAAATGTTACTAAACAGTGTATAAAAGAGTAGCTGGAGTACAAAATATAATCCTTGCCTTTGAAAAAGAATTTAATTTTTATATGTGGCATATCAAATTGCATTATAATCAGAAAAGCTGACAGATGCTTAGACCATAGGTAATGAGGACAAAGGGTCAGTTGTAACAGAATTTGATGGATGCCTTTAAAAGTCACTGCCCTTGGGGAAATTGCTAGTGCTTGTCCTGCCATATATTTATCTGTGCGACCTGAGGTTTCATTTTATCTCTCAGTTTTTCATCTCCAAATAGAAGAGTAGGATTAGATCTCTAAATTCTGTCTAACTCTAATGGATTTTTTTTTTTACTATTACAGTTAAGACTGTTAAGATCAGAAGCTTCCCTTGATCAAATTGGTGTTTAATTCTCAGAGAACCCAGATGTCGTTTTTAGAATCAGGTTAGATTTTTTTACTTATATTTTCTATGTGTTTTGCTAAAAACCAGAAATACAAAACCGAAAAAGGCATTTCCCTGTACAGAAGTACACAGAGCAGTAAAGGACAGTCATGTACACAGTTAGTTGTAAAATAGTATGTATAAATCAATGATGGGACCTGATATGAGGGGTAGAAGGAAGCAGAGAGAGATGAGTGAGGACAGTTCTTTAGTATTTCAGAGGCTAGAATTATTACATTGCTCTCCCTGTCATACTCCCTCTGATTTGAGCAAGTAACTCATAATCACACCATTGTCACTAGGGTCAACGGCCCTTGGACAGTCACCACACTGGCACTGCTTACCTGGGGAACTTCTTAGCTCCTCCAGATTTAAGAAGTTGTCAGGATGTCCAGAAAGTTGGTGGCACTTGTATTCATTTATAAATACCACCACCTTCAAAAAAGAACCAAAATGAACAGAAAATGAATTTATCAAAGAAAACTTCATCATGATTGAAAGCAAGGAATAGCCTTAACCTAGCATGAACTTTGAAAATGTGTTCCTCTTTACCATCCCCAACTTGGGGGAACTGGGCACTCAGAAAGACTAGTAATACACTTGCTGTTCCTGTGAGGATCAGTTGTGACTGAGAAGCCAAAGATAAATGACATGACTGTGTTCTACCTTTCCTCCCCACCTTCCCACCCCTGTGCTTCCTAATTGCAGGACAGTTTCAGAGATAAGTGTCTATAGAGGACAAAGTTGGTTTACAGTTAGCTTGGAAAAATTTTATCTTATCTTTGGACCACCAGGACATCTGGCTTTTGGCCAACATAAACAGAGTGAGATTTATAGGGTGTTATTTAAAGTCTGAGACTATTCTGGTGCTCCCCAGGGTCAGTTTCTTTAATATGGTTTCCAACTGGCTTAATAGGTTAAGTAAATCTCATTGATTATATGGCCAGTGAGGTATGCAAATTCTGAGAAATCTGAGCTATTCCAAAGTCTGAGCTATCTCCAAATTCTGAGCTATTCCAAAGTCAAGTTTCCTCATAGGTCTTGGTAGTTCAAGCTGGAGATAGTGGAGACTGTGGTCTATATGAGCAAACAAAAATGTGGTGATGTCTCTGGGACTGCAGTGTTCACACTTTCTACTTCTTGCTGCACTATATTCCTTGCCTTTAATAAAAGTATAATGTAGGTGTGCTCTGTGGTGTCAGTGAGTCCTTTTAAATATAAGAACATAGGAAATCTTTGCAGTATGTGTGTGTGTGTGTGTGTGTGTGTGTGTGTGTATACAAAGAAGTTTATGTTTGTAGGTATTGAGTAAAATAGAATAAAGGTCTACCCTGAGAACTGTGAAAATTTTGTCCTTTAAAGAAGGAATGTTCATTACTCAATTTTATAAAATCATTCATTCCTTTGAGTTTCTCTGCCTCTTCTCTTCAACAGACCAATAAGAATTCATGTGGGCCATTCAGAACATAAATAGGAAAGGTGGCAAGGGAGAACCCGGACTGTGTTTGGTCAAGTCCATTGGCTCTGTACCGAAGGATAAAAGAATTCCCTGTGGCTTCATGGAGTCCAATCCCATTCACAAGCCACAGGGCTTCCACATGGGGAATCAGACAAATGCCTTAGAGTTATAAACAAAATAATTCTGCCCCAAGTGTCTCTACAGCACGTGGACTTTGGAAACATTTGGCAGCAGGATGCAGCTGGCCAAGGATCTGGGATCCTGGGTGTCAGCCATCTTTCCCTCTATAACCAACAGCTACTTCCTGTCTCCCCTTAGGATTAGGCACATGCTGGACAGAAGTTTGGGCCTAATACCAAAGATAATGCTGGAATTATGTCATACTTGTCCCAATAAAGGCTATTCAGAAATTACGAAGAGAGCATATTCAGTGTATTACTTATAAACTGCTTAGAATCTAAAAATAGGAAGGGACTTAAGAAATCACTTAGTCCAACTTCTATACCAATGAAAGACTCTCTTCTAAGACCATCCTGGTATATAATCTCTTCCCTAAAACTCTTATGATAGAGTATTTACTAATACTCTGTACTACTCTTCAGGAAGACCCTTTTTTATGATTGGAAAGTATTGACAGGAGGGTCTTTCTCATAAAGAGAGTCAACAACATCCTTTAATTTTTGATTCTTCATAATAGCAAAGTAGTCTATTTCTTTTGCCACATTACAATTGTTCTTTTCTCCAAGATCATCTAAGATTATAGGGTATGGATATTAGAGCTCTCAGGTTCCAGATATTCTCGATGAAGTAGTAGAATTTTCTATTTAATATATTTTATAGACAATACTTTTGCAAATTATATTGTAATTTTATCTTTTTGATACATGTTTTTTATGTTACATTTCCTAAAAGTGAGGTCTTCCTATATCTAAAATAGATCTTTAAAATATATATTTTAAAATAAAATATATTTAAAATAGATTGCCATATACAATTTTCCTGTTTCATCTAACTCTGATGGGAAGACCTGGGATAAGAGAACACCTTTGTATTCTCAGAAGTCAAGATCTATGGAAAGTTTTAAAAGTTGTTTGAGTTTTAACCTCATGCCACTTTTAAAAATTTAAAGTCCTCTGCATCCCACTCCATATAACAGAGACAGTGATATAGATTTAATAATTGTTTTATTTATAAATATTCACCAACTCTTGCCAGTCATATTATTCTGGACATCACAGGTAAATTACATAATAGCTTATGTTGTACTGATCTGTATTAAAGTTAGGAGAAAGAAGAGATGAAATGTATATATTACATGAGAATGACATCTGAAAGCTCATATTTACAGTGCAGTGTTCTGTAAACACACAGGCCTATTACCTAAAGACTCAGTTTTTATCTTATTAGCACCCAGCTGCACAACCTTGGACAAGAGACTTACGTTTTCTCATTTTTAATCTATCACCTGACTTCTCTACCTCATAATGAACTAGCTGCATGCAAAATTACCTTGAAGAATACCATGTACTTAATGTGCAATATATCATCACTGCAAAGTACTTTATTACTGATCCTCCTCTTTTTAGAGTAATACTAACTATATTTCAGTAAAACTCACTTATTTGCAAAATGAATCTTTTAGAAGAAACCGTTAGGCAGTAGTCTTACTGACAATCTGGTTTGACTCTGATGTCAATGTGACTCTTGAAAAAAGATAGGCTATCGAGATAGATAATAATTATAAATTCTAATTAATAATAAAATGAAATGCCTCATTAATTTTCCAAAATATAATCGTCCAATAGTAATGGAGTCAAACTGAGGAGGAAAAAACCTACCACAGCTTAAGTGATTTAAAAGTACAAGTGATAATTGTGGGAATCAACTTCCACCTAAATTTAAGCTTATTTTTGTAGAAAAACATCAAAAGATTATTATTAAAAATCAAATTCCCTATGAATTTCTAAAAATTAAAATTCTATATTTTGTTTCTGAAAAATTGCTTCTTTGGCAAAACATTTAGCACAGACTATGTTACCCTAAATCAATGTTGTACACAAATATTAAGGTCCATCAAGCACATTTTTTAGTCATGCCACTTTTTAACTGCAAAATGAGTATCTCCAGGGTCCCAAAATTCAAGGGACTGAGGTAATAATAAATAATGATAAAAGGGAAGATTTTGGCATGCAAAGCAAAACTACCTAATTATGGATATCTGGCACACTGATCACTATTTGCATATTTATAGGGTACAGTTAACGTGACTGTATAAGCATTCTGGAACCTTAGAGAACAAGGAAAACAATTTGTGAATATATCTTGCCTATGTGTCAAAGTAGTTTCTACCCTAGCACTCCTATGTCAGTTCCTTAAAGCCTTTCAGTTTTCAGGTACTGTAAGTCTGAATGGAACTGTTTAGAGTAGATAGACATATGCAAAGAATATTATGCTTTAGAAATGTTCTTGGTTTATCAACAGAAAAGATAAATATTACACACGCTTAAAATGTGAAAATAAGGTTTGTGAGAGCAATTAGAAAGCATCTTCATCTGATTCAATATCACTCTTGGATTTAGTAAGTCTTTCCAGTTCCTCTCCATCCTAAAAGGAAACATGAAATCAGTAATTAAAACAAAAGTAGAAAATGTAGCACTTTTAGTAGGAAGAAACTACTAACAAATCATGGATTTTATATCATTAAACTATAATTTGGTCAAATGAAATCAAATATTTTAGTTCTTGGAGAATTAATTTTAGATGGATAATGGGTTCGTGAAAAATCGAAATACACCGCAGTGCTTGAGTTTCAAAGTTAACATGAGAGAAGGAGCACCCTCTGCTGGTCTTGAGGGGAAATGACTAAAGATAGGTCGGATGATTTTTCTTTTACCTAAAATAGTAGGGCAAACAGTATGATCAGAACACTGGAAAGGAGTACATGAGTTCTAAATGTCTTTTCTGGCTGTGATCAAGGCACATAGGGCCCAAAATTCTAGTTTTGCCATCTTAAATATCTGTTGTAATCACCACTTCAGAATTACTGAGGGAAGCTCTGCCACAACTCTTAATAAGCAACAGATAATACCCCCAGTGAGACATTCATTTTGTGAAATATTTCATACTTTGTATGTTCATGAAAATTGTAAATTTAAAACTAGAGTGTATTTTATCTTTTATTTAAACTTACATCTAATGCCTTACTAGCTTCAAAAGAGCATTATTAATTTGCTAATAATATGTCTAGCAGTTTCTCCAATTATCAGCAATTGGTAGTTGCTTATGTGCATGATGCTTATAAGCATACATATTTTTCTAAAAAATAATTTTCTCTTACTTGTGATCCTTTTGAACACTCTTTTCCTAGTGCAATAAACAGGGTACCCTTCTGACAGACTGTTTTATAAATAATACAGGGGAAAATGAAGGAGCCAAGCTTTCCACTTTAATTAGTAAGATGTACTCATGCAGAAGATCAAATTTTCTTGTGAGTGAGGTTCATTTCCCCAGCTATGGTGAAGCAGAAAGAGTAATGGTGTAGGAGTCAGACAGTAGGCATTTAGTACCAGTTCTTTCATTACTTAGCTATAAACCATTCAGCCTGAGTTTGTTTCTTGGTTTGCAAAAGTAGGAAGATAGTTTTGGACAAGATAACCTGTGGTAAATCTTCTAACTCTGTGGATCTCTAATAGCCTATGATATAATTAACATATAAGAACCCTGATTGTGCTTTAAACTTTTTTATCTACCTGATACCATTATCATGAGTCCCTGCAAACATAAGGAGCTCAATGAATGTTGAATGATTTTTAAGTCACAGAGATAGATCTTTTGATAAATCAGTACTGACTGATTTCTTTTCTTGAATTTGTCAACAACAGACAAAATGTAGTATCCCCTCCTACTTACCCCACTGGAACGCTCCCAGAGAGTGCCACTGAGATCACGGATCCTTTCTTGCCTAGGTGCATATTCCTGATCTTGAGGCTTGCTGGCATTATAAATAAATATGGCGAGAAGTACTGATGGAGCTTCTAAGAAAAACTCAAGGGAAGGCCTGAAGTGAAAAACCAGGACAGACACTGTTGTGATAATCACAGTGGTGACCTGGGCCATCAAGACATGGAACATGTTATCTAGGAACTTCAGAATGAAAGCTACTGAGAGGCCCTGGAATGCAGTTACAAATATAAGGGCTACTGAAAATGCGTTGTGGCCATAAAAAATGCCACAGTTCTTAATCTGATCATAGTTACCACTCTGAAGGCCCAGCGTCAGCCCATTAAAAAGAACACCAAAGAAATAGAGCTTGCTGTTCTGTATGAAGATGCTTTCAGAGAGCTGCCTCCCTTCCTTCAATATCTTTTCATTATAGATGTTGGCCATTGAGGAAATAAAGCACTGAACAATAATAAGAATATGCCCCAAGCCAAGACGGATGTGACTGAAAACCCTGGCTGTGGCGTTCCATTTAGCTTCAGAAAAAGTCCACTCTTTTGCTGTGCAATTGCCATTGCTGGGACACTCATTTCTGAAAAGAAGGCAGGAGTTGGATGGGCTGAAGAAGGCATCATGATGAAATCCATGTCCGGCCAGGTTATGCTGTGAAGTTTCAGTCCCAGCAGTGAGGGCCACAATAGATAGAAAGAGAATCAGGAGGGAGGACCACTGTATCCAGTTTAGATGCCTCCTGTTCAAAGATGAAAAACATATTTTACTGCTTTTATCCCCCTCCCACATTAACCGTTTCTACTGAAAACTTAGACACCTGAGTACTTGAATAAATTATACTCTATTTTAATTAGCATTTTCCAAAATTCAAAGAAAACTTGGTGGTATCTCTGCTTCTCAAACTTGACATTTTTATTCAATTTTATAATAACTGTCCCTTAAGGCCATTCAGTTAGTCCACTTCACTGTAGGTTTCCTTTAACCAATAGGTGTAACTAAGCCTCCTTTTTGACTCTAGAGCTGACCTTGGGTCTTTGGTACAGTAACTTCTAATCTTGCTTACTATAAAGTAATTTATAGGAGGAATTCTCACCCCGGTTTCCATGAAACAGAAAGAATGTGATGAATTACAGAAATCTGTGAATACTTGCTGTGTGTGCCAAATCTTCTATTAATATATAGGTGAATTCCCAGCCCTCCTCTAGTCCCCAGGAGACCCTTCAAAGTACTGTTAAGTTTTCAAAGGTATTCATGATTCAAAAAAGATTTAAGGAGGAAGCTAGCTCCAAGAGCCATGGGCTAGTCATGCAGCATACAGCAAACTAATGTTTACCAGGCAAGAAAAAATTATTTTTAGTGTTTCAATTTACAAAGTGCTAACAACGACTGATTTACTTATTTTGCCTAAAGATAAACTTGTAAGATATAGGGCAATGTATTATTTCATTTTGTGAACTCATTCAGTTTAGTAGACATTTAATCAGAAGTTACTATGTGCTAAGCACCCTGGGGAGATAAAGAGATTTGATCTCTATCTCCACTTTAATAAGGAGAGAGGATGAAACTAAATGATGACAATATAATGTGTGACAAATGATACATGGAATAACTGGGGAACACTGAGGAAGGGACACGGGTCTATAAAGAATGTGGGCATTTCTTCAAAGGAAAAATGATACTTGAGCTGAAAGATGAATAAATTCAAGTTTGCCATGTGAACAGGGAATTGGTGACATATCTAAGCTGAGAAAAAAGTATATTCAGAGGCAACAAGAATGAACAGTGTTGACTAAGCAAAAAGCGTGGGATAAAAAGGGAGGCCTGCAGAGGAAATAAAATCTTGACGTTTGAAGATGAATTGTCAAGTGAAGAAGGACAGCAAGAAAAGAGAAAAACAGAACGTGGAAGTGTAAACCACATTTATTTAGTGCCCACTGCATCAGGCAATTCCTACTGTAAGAGAGGAAACTTCTGAGAGATTAACTGCCATCCTAAGGCTGTACGTTTATGAAAAAATAAGGGATTGGAGCCATGGTTGTGCTTATCTTCCTTCTTGACCGAAGCACCTCTTAAGTATAATTCTGAGTTCCCGGGATGAATATATAGGAAGATGTGTCTGATTTCACCAAACAGTTCCATGCTTTGGAACTGCTAAATATTCAGGCTAGTTTAGATGGCACACCTCCATGCACTATCATGTCTTCTTGTGCATCTGCTTTCAAATACTCAGATCTAGTACTGGGTGATGGGGCCCTATGCAAGGGAAGCAGAAACTGTGAACTAGTCACACAAATGTGAATGATCTTGGAGAAATACTTATATGACTGACTAGCATTTTTATTTTTCTGCTGGTTTGGAGATTAACTAATCTTTATCACAACTTCCAAAACACCCACTATGTTTTCAAATGTGTTTTGGAATGTTTTCCCCATAGTTTCTCTTTGAAGAAATCAAGAAAAAATATATATTATCTCTAGGTAAAAATATCTGCTGGTCTTAATTATCTTTGGCCCCCACAACTCAAAATTGGACTTTAGCTTTTGTACTAAAAGCCCAAACAAAGAAGATCATACAATGCTGTCAAGTCTTAAGAGCAAACCAGTATGGCTTTGAGGCATAATTCCCACCACTAGTTTCATCTGAACCACTGGTTATACTTCATAGAATAGCTCTATATATTCACATGGAGTTTCTCTAGAAAAGTCAATAGTAAGATATTTGAATGGTGATATTTTTCATTTTCCTACTTGTCAATTTCTGCAAGTAATTTTTACATTAGTCACCAGACTTATTTTTTCCTATCTTTGTAGTCTTACATTCTTTATCTGTATGGGAATGGTATTTGATGGCTTTTTAAAGTACACAATTAACAGCCTTATTAAAAAATTAGTTATTTATGGTAAATTAATTAAAAATGTTATAGAACTCAAGTTGGTACTCCTATTCTTCAAAATTCCGTGGTTGGGAAAAAAAATCATCAAATGACTCACAAAGAGTAGATTTAATAGGAGAAAACAAACAAAAACAACACATACTGCCAACAACAGAGAGATGAAAATAGAACAAAGTTGATTTTAAAACATAATAAACGGTAATATTTAAAAAGCATTCTCATAAAAGACAATGACAGATTATCATATTGTAGCTCCATTAAAGTAGCTTCAGTGCCAATTTGTGAATCGGTGAAAAACCATTTTGATTTTTAGGATCCACTCTGGGAGCTAAGTTTGTACTTGTGGAAATGATATGGAGTGCTTTTATTGTTTCTTTAAAATAAATAACTTCCAAGAATTTAAAATATATACATTAACAACAAGGCCAACACATTCACTATTACTACAAAAGAATCATTACTATTCTGAATATTAAGGGGCAAAATATGTAAAAATTTAAACTTTAGTTCATAACATTGTCAATTATTACTAAAACAAGCAATAATACAACTGGTATTAATATAATAGCATTAAGGTATTAATATAGCATTAAAAGCAAACATTTAATGTTTACAGTATAAATACACTTGGATTTGGTTTTAAGAATTTCCTTATTAATATAAATTAATAAGTGGCAGCTCATTTTGAATTGGTCCCTTTGTCCCCAGCCTCGCCCATCCCAGTGTTGGGATGCTCCCAGTGTTCCCCAATAGTCACAGGGAACCACCAACAGGATGCAAAATGCGCAGTGGCTCTGGAATCTGGTCACAGACTCAGCTTAGGACAATCTATTGCTTTCCAGGCAATAACTATACCCGCCCTCAGGGAAGCGGTATGGGGTTAAGTTGAAATAGGGCAGAAAGGCCTTTAGGGCACCACGTGGCCCAGAGTCCTTAGTGTGTTCTCCCTTCCTAGCCTGACTTAGAATTTCCTTGACTCTGTTGCCTATAAATAGCAATGGCTGGCCATGGGGAGGGCCTTTTCAAGTGGCCCCTTCATCTAGGCCTCACAGTCAAGATTCTGGATCCACTAAAAACAAATAAAATAAAGAACATCTTCAGGTACAACTAGATATATTGGTCAATTTCAAGTCAGGCAATACATATTTTCTTTGGTAAATTCAGTTTTAAATTGATGTAGATTTGACAAAATACTTATGTATTATATGTCTTATGTATAGCACCATGTGTACTCACTCACAAACTCATTTCACAGGGAAAAAAAATGAAAACTAAAAAAGAAAACATGTTTTTGAAAACTTTGCCCCTTAGTAAATAGTAGGCTTTTTACTGCATGTTTAGTTTTTTCCTCAATGGAAGCGTATCTCTAATTTTATCATCGGCATCAATATAAAAATATTATTTACATATATTTTCTCAGCAGCCAACTTTTTTTTTTCCACAGCAGCCAACTTTTTAATCCTACAAAATAACTTTCATTTTGATTTTAAAGACTTCAAAATCTTTTTAGAATGGCATCTTTTAACTTGCTAGTTGAATTATTTTCATAATCCATAAACAAAAACAAGATGCAAAAGCAAATTTTAGTGTACTGTAACATTTAAGCTAGATGAAATATATTTCTTCATCTCTTATATCAACCATTAAATTGAATGTTTCCTAGGGTAAAAGAAAATTTTCAAGGATTCCATATAATTTATGTACTGCATGCATCATAGGTTCAACAAATATTTTCTGAATGCCTGCATACCAAGTCATTCATCCTTCTGTCCACATAAATTATGAAAGAACACACTATTATATAATAAAGATACAAGAAGTCAAAGAAATAAATAAGGTGAATATAAAATAAAAAAAAACCAATCACAACAAATATAACAAGAAGTTAATTTTATTTTTATCATCATCATCATCATCATCACTATTAAACAATAAATTAAACTACAGTTAAGTACCCAGATGTGTATTACCATCCTGTCTTAGGACATTCTGTCCTATTCATGGCTATGCAGCATGATATTTACTTAAAATGTTTATTTTACTCAAAGGTCTCCCTAGAGATAGGAAAGACTGGTTATAGCATTTTCAAAAATCTAACAGCCTATCACTCTCATTAAATGTAATACTGACAAACTCTTCATGCAAATTCTCTGTCAGTTAAGAGCTTAAATTATGTACTCATGGTAAGAAGCTTAATAAAGAATTTGCCACTCCAAACTCCAAGTAACAAATGTAGCAACAATCTTAGGAACTTCTTAATTCCCTACTGGTATACAGCAAATCTCAAAACAAAACAAAAGAAAAAAAAAAACAAAAAAACCCAAATCCAAAAAACAATAGGGCTCATAAATTCTCTGTTGAAAAATCTGGCACTAAAAATTAAAGTGCTAATTATAACCCAGTCGATTATCTTTGAGATGCTAAAAAAAGAAAAGAAAGAAATTCATATATTGAATTACTGAGGATTCCAAAATGTTAGCACCTGAGCTGATTTCCAGAGGGGTTAAATAACTTGCCCAATACACAATGCCAAGTAGGAAGAAAATCCCGATCTTGGGATTCAGAGGTTTCAGTGCTCTGAGTATATCATCTGTTACAAGGCTGTGACGTTTTAAAGTACGATATATGCTTTCATAGCAAGTTACTTACTTCAGCACCATCCTGAATAGAAGAGCTGTTGTTATAATGCTAAAATTTGAGAAGATAACAGCCATGGCCTAGAAAGAAAGATGTGATAGAGTTACAATCCAAACAACAGACTGACCTTAGAAATTTCCCAGCTTTGTGGTTCACTTGATAAAAAAAACTTTCTAGCCAAAAACCAGAGTTATTAGGGCAGCAATTTCACTAGAAGATTAAATTCCATTTTTATTACTTACTAATGTTTACAGATATGATCAAATTATTGTTCAGGCTTTGAAAATGTGCTTTCAAAATCCCCAAATGCATGTGTAAATCATCTATGTGTGCATATACAAATATCTGGAAATACAAACTAAAAGTTTAGTTAGGTCTAGAAATATCAGTTATCATACTTATGAAACATGCATTTTCAAGCTCACAAAGCCAACAGTATTATTTCTATAGGTAGCGAGGAGGCAGGCACTCTTAGGTCCATTTGTACATCAGAAAATTGAGGTACAGGTCTTTAAGCATCTTTATTACTCTAAGAATTGAATCAATATTCAATATTGAAATATAGTGACTCAATACATGTGCTTAAACATCAAACTCATATTTGATAGTCATTTGGATTTATTCACAATATTCTAAAGATTTGGAAGTGTTGTTTTTGTGAATTCAGTCATATTTCACATAGGAAATTAATCTTAACATATATATATATATATATATATATATATAAAAGCTCAGAAAGTATGAAATTTTATCATTGTTCCCCATTATTGGATCTGACAATACTAATATTTTTTATGTGTTCTTCTAATATTAATATTTTAAAAAAGCAAAGCCTACTGATTTAGTTCACTCTTCTTTCTTCCTTGATGTCATCTTAACTTGATTAAATCCCAAAGAGTTGTGAATATGCAACTTAATTAAATAAGAGCAAATCTAATAAAGACTGGCAAGAATTCCAAGAATAAACATTGTTGTTTTTCTATTGAAGTTCTACTATATTATGGGAACTACTATTTTAAGACTTTCTTTCACAATCCCCTGTAGACAAATGCATGCTGTGATCCCCTAACGTAGAAAAGTGAGAGGAGATGAGTTCAGCAAGTGGATGGTATAAAGGGGGTAAGTGGTGATGTGATCAATCAAAATAATGGCCTTGTAAATGCACATCACAAGCAGGCATGATGAATTCTGAAAACTTTTCCCATGCAGTAGAATAAACAAAATATCAGAACTCTTGCCAGCAAACTTACATGTATCGCTACTGAATTCTTTCCAACTAGACATGGAAACAACCACAGAATATGCCATGTAAGGTTTATTTTGTAATATCTATAGTTGTGTATGAGGAAGGAAAAGCAAAGCAATAAGTTAGAAGGAGAACAAGGAAGTTGTGATCTTGTTTTGGTATTGGGGATGTAAGAAAAGGGTTGAAAATAGCACTAATTTATTAACTACAAATAAAACCAACATATGCATACTGAAAGTGAATAATTATGTTAGTAGGTGGGACAAGAATTGTCTGGAATGAAAGAATTTAGAACTGTATATGTTATAGACAGAACATATACTTAACTAATAACAGGATCACAGAGCTGAAAGGAACTTCGGGTGACCTTGAGCCCAGCTCTCTGACCCTGGGTTGGTACAGTATTAATATCCTATTTTACAGATGGGTTACTGGAGCTTAGAGGAGCTGGGGCTTGCCTAGTTACATAGCTTTTAAACTGTGAAAAAGAATTTCTGTTTTCAATTTTGATAACAGTTTTTAATTACAGTGCTCTATTAATCCCCCCTTTCACTCTACTGTAAAACTGAGTTGGCAATATTTAAGAGGTCTTACATGAGGTCTAGTACCAATAAAAATCCTATTTATGATCAAAATGTCTGATTTTACTTTTAAGAAACTTAAAAACACATTTAGCTAAAAATGGCAATAGAAATCTTCATTTAATGAAATCAAAGGGAAAATATTTATGTAATACATATTAATATGTAAAAACAGAAGACCATTTCTGCTAATTGATAACTCTCTAAATTGGCAAAGAATATGGCAAGAGATTAGAAAAATTTGTAGTTTGTAGTATAATCAAGTGTAGTTAGTATTTACAGATGGAAGGATGCAATCTCTACCCTTATAGAACTTGTTGGTTAAATTACTGGACTAACAGAAAAAAAAATCATACAAATAGAATACATATAAACTACATTACAACAGGTAAGAAGGAGACGTACATGAAGTGTGTAATTTTCTGAGTTAATCACAGAAGTCTGCTTGGAGGCCTGGATGCTGCAGTTTCTAATAGAAGTTGGTGACACAAGATGGATCAGATACTAGGCAGACTGATTAAGGTTTCACAAAGACAGATGGCTCTAGATTCATTTTCCAGGGAGTACCACTCCCTCCATCCCCCAACACACCAGTCAATAATACAGTTTAATACAGCAATCTTTAACAGTGAGAGAATCTACCAAGCATATTATTACTTCAGTAGTCAGATGATACTGGACAAACCTCAGCAAAGACAATGAGGGCAATGAGAAACTAACAATGCCAAGGAAAATGCTAAAAAAAATTAGTTTTTCCTTGGATTAACTTCTCTGCATTTTTCCAGTGGGATTTTCTTTGTCATATTTACTTACAGGCTGAAGGTAGGAAAGGACATAAAAGACAATCAAATTATCCAGGTAGTACAGAAAGCCAGGAACAGACCACTTCATGAAATTAGTGATTTCCTTCCAGGAAGCACATTTCAAGCTTTTGTTTTGATAATTTCCTAAAGAGAAGAAGAGAACAATAAATGAACTTGATGAGAATGCCCAAATTTTTACAGAAATTATATCTGATTACTGATATAATTCTTTAAAAGCATTGGCATTCATCATCATCCTAAGAAATACTGGTTCTCCTAATTCCTGTTAACTTGAGAAAGAAGTTTCACTTAAGGCAACTCTGGATACATTTATGGCTTCTTTTAATACAAAGCCTAAAGCCAAGAGACAGAGCAACAAGTTAGAATAAGTAGGGGGAAAAATCACCCATTCACACTGGGAATTTTTTTTCCTCTAGGGGGATTAGGGAAGGAAGATACTAGTTTTCATTTATACATGGAGGTAGTAAATTAACTTTTATTAATCTTGGTATGAGTTATTATTCCATCTCTAGATTTCTAAACTTAGAAAGGTAATGAATGTAACAGATCTAAAATAAAATGAAAAGACTGAAAATAATTTTAAGGTTAAGTCCTGCAAATAATGCATGAATTCCATGAGATAAAATAAAGCGTGCATTCCACTAACTAGTAACCTCATGGATTGAAATCCTTAAGTATGAAAACCTATCCTCCTGAGTACAATATTTAATACTCTAAATTCTATGTTTACTTTACATGGGAAGCAGATCAAAGCAATAAGAGAGCCGAGGCTCAATAACCAGGGATCTGAGGAAGAGACATCATGGATGCTGAGTCACAAATGCTACATCCTATGGATATAAAGATTAGTATCCCCACTGGATAGCTGGTAAAACTGCAGCTCTGCGATCGTAAGCTCATTCGTTCTACAACAGTCTGGCTCCAATACACTGTGCTGACTCCGGTGTAGGAAATGGACACAGATGGGCAATATACTACCTATCAAGGTGGACAGCAGTGATTTAGAAAATGCTCAATTTCCACAATGTAACTTTCTCTTTGAGTTTGCTTCAAAAACATGGGTAATGATACTTGATGTTTATATCTTAGCATCTTCCCAGATAAATCAGTGGGCAAATGAGTGGGCCAAACAATATAAAATGTTCCTTCCTGTCCTAAAAATTTTTGGCTCTGTGATTTTTAACAAGGTTTTAAGATCATTTCAAGACTCACCTTTCTTTATAACCCAGAATGACACAAACACACAGAAAACAAGCTTCACCAGTTCTGAGCAAACATTCACAGTAGTTGGAAGATAATCGTATTTGTTCTCTGAAATACAATAAAAATGACTTTTAACCAAAAATTTTGTTCAATATAATGCTCATATACAGTTAAGTTATAGCTATTTTTAAACTTAAAAGTTGGATTTTAATACTGATTATATGAAACTTCATCTAATTGGCTTTGCTCTTTTAGATTTTAAATCAATTTTCCTCATATATTGGTTATCTCCATCCCATTTAGCATTATTAATCCTTAAATTTGATAAACATGCCTCTCAGATTTTCATTCAAGTTGTTGCTGAACAAGCCGAGGAGGCTAGAGTTAAGGACAAAGAAAGTTCTATGGCATGGCACTATTCTGAGCTGTTCTAAATTGATCGTGTTCTAAATTAAATAGATCTTGTTCTAAATTGATCATTAACACTCAATGTCTGACTCATCAAATAGTTACAATTTTCCTGGTCCAATTATTACTCAGTTCATGGTACCTTGTGTGACTTGTCTTGCTAAAATCAAGGTACACTTTGTGATTGTCTCTTACTCAGAGTTTCCTATGTGTTTCATATCTTGACACACATAGAAAATTTGTTTGATACTCTGGAATAAATGAATGGTACACGGGGTAGAAGAAGGAAGCTACCTGAGGCCAAGAGGCAACTGGTCCAGAGCTCTGGCTACATCTGAAGCCAAGACAAAATATTCCCAAAGAGCCAAACCCTCTGACAAGTTGAGAAGCAATAGCCTAAGTTATAGGTCAACTGAATTAGGAAATGAGGTGTGGTTAGCATGCTTTGATCTTAGCTCTAACTTCTTTTCTAAGTGCTTAGCAAACAACTTACTCTATAATTTGCCAAGGACAAACAAACTTTACTGCTGATATAATTCTTAAGAGACTTTATGAACTTGCTCCATGAGTGACTAAGTTGAGTAATGTACTTTTCCCCCATTTTGATAACTACTTGTTTCTCTTATCATAATAAAAAAAAAGAAACTGATAAAATAGAGAAAATATGTCAATTTGACATATTTTAGATTTATTTATTTATTTATTTAACAAATATGTCATTTTTAAATTTATTTATTTATTTATTTAACTTTTCCCCTCTTTTCTATGATTCTTCTGACCTGCTCAACCTAAGCATAAGCAATTGTTTATTCACCTCTGGTCCTGAAGCACTACCTCTAAAAGACTTGTCATGTTGTAATTATGAAAGTTGTTTTTTATGTGTATGTCTTACTCTTAGAATATAAATTCTTTATAAGAAAGGGACCATGAGAGTGATCTTCTTATACCTGGCTGTTAACACTGTTCTACATTTAGCAGGTAGGCCTTAATAAATGGTCACCTGAATTTAAATATTTGCCTATTAAACTTTCTCCATCATTCAAAGCCTAGTTAAAACATCTTCTCTCTTTACTGCATGCAAAGCTACACTGAAATCACACTCCATTATCCCCCAGTACTACCCTGCACTGCCCTGCATCCCAACTGAAATAACAGTCAGATGCTATGATCTGTTTTGTAAAGGGATTGACCAAAACTTGTACTTAACTGACCCAAATTTAACTCAGCATCACCATTTTTCTTGCCAAGGAATGAATGTCTAAAGATTCAAATTTAAACATTCTTTGCAATCATGAGAAACACAGAACTTGCAAGGGTGCTATCCCCACTTTATATACAAAGAAACCAAAGACAGGAGAGTTAGTATGTGATTAGATGAAGTGCTCCCTACATATTGCAAGTCTCCTCTTACCTTCATTGGCTGAATATTTTACCAGCAGGATGCGACTGGAACTTAAAGCAATGAATACGGTCCCTAGCAGGAATGTATACATTGTTGAAAAGGAGCATGACAAAGGATGACCACAGTACTTGCTTTCCATTCCACTGGTTTTTAACTGCCTTAAAGAGAAGAACATTTTTATAAGCATGTTGGCCAACTGAACGTAAAGCTAATACCATTGATTTGTGAAGACCAGAAAAAGGATTTTTTTTAGATGCTCGTCTATTGTTATATCAAAACCAAGAAACTTGAGGTCTACAGGAGAAACACTGAGAAAAGAAAAGAAAAAAGTCAAAATTTCATGTGGGGCAACACTAGAGATAGAAAAAGAGCTAAGTTAGATATGCTGCCTAAGGCAGCACGTAAGCAACTGACACTTTCGGTGTGCAGAAAAATAATTCTTCAGCTTTCATTCTCATTAGCAATTATGCTCTAGGAGAAGGAAATTTCAGATTAGTATTTTTCTCCTAAGGAGCAGCGCTTCCTTAGGAGGAAAAAAAAAAAAGCTTACTGGAAAATAATTCGTTACAAGAGTGACCAAAATGGAAATACCTGAAACACTGGGGTTAATTTTTAATGAACTAGTTAATGTTGGAAATAGAAACGATCTTAGAAATCAATGATTCTGAAGGCCCTGTTCTGATATACTTATGACATTAAACTCCAAGGCCCATAGTGAGTAACTTGCCCAAAGCCTCCCAGTACACGGAGGGCGCATAGACCCTGGAGGTTTGGTCAGAGATGGATTTGAAATGCTAACTCCGGCAGCCCAGCCCGGCGCAAGCGCACAGAGGCCAATGAGACTCCTCCCCTTCGGAAGTGTAGGTTTCCCTTCCCCGTCAAGGAAAACCCTCTAGTTACACATGCGCAGTAGGGAAGACTTCATCTGGCGCGCCTTCCCCCGTACGCACGCGCAGATCGCTGCCCGCGGGGCGCGGTTACCTCGGTCCCACCGAAGAGCTTCTAGCGGAAGAGCGCACAGACGCGAGCTGACATAACTATTTCCTCAGCAGCAGCAGCAGCTTTTGGGGTCCACAGGCGGGGAAGCTATGGATGGGAAACAAAGGCGAAAAAGCCTCTGCCCCCGAGCCTCCTATTCCGGAACAAAAAAACACAATAATGTCCAGACAGGGAAAAAGCGGAGCTGCGGCCCATTGCGCAAGCGCGCTCAGTGTTACGCTTCCGGAGGGAGGGGAAGGGCGGCCTGGTCCCGCCCCAGCGCGGCCTTTCTCGCGTCACGTGTCGGGAGAGCCTCTGTCACGTGAGGCCCAGGTGGCTGTGGAGCTACGGCAAGAGAGAGAGACAGAGAGAGAAGGGGAAGTCGGAGGGGGCTCGAGTGAAGCCGGGGGACGACAGCCCCCAATAGGGCGAGGGGGGCGCGTGGGCCCACTTCTTTCCCCAGCTCTCCCCTCGGCCCGACTGTCTGCCCTCGGGGCCGGGTGACGGCCGGGCCCGGTCCTCCGCGTGCCGGGCTTCGCGCGCGCCGCGCCGGCCACCCCTCCCCCTCGTCCCGTCCGTCCCGTCGCGTCCCGTCCCCTCGGGTGTCGCTGGCGGGGCGCCTCTGTGAGTCAGCGGCCGCGGGGACATTTTCTCACTTTGCGACCCCAGTCCCGGCTGCCCTCCCCACCCCGCCGCGGGGCCGGCCGCGACTCCGGCCCCAGGATGCAGAATGTGATCAACACGGTGAAGGGAAAGGCGCTGGAAGTGGCCGAGTACCTGACCCCGGTCCTCAAGGTAAGCTGGGCCGGGCTGGGCGGGGGCTGTCAGGCGCACGCTCTGCTCTGCAGACCCGGGGCCGGGCGCCCGGCGAGTCGCCCTGTTTCCCGGCGGGGAAAGGTGGGGTGGGAAGGCGGGCGGGATGGGACGCCAAAAAAGGTGCAGCCCCACACCCGTAGTGTCGCTCGGCGGTTCTCCAGGGCTTTCTGGCAGCTGGGAAACTGGGTACGCTTCCGGCGCACCCCGAGTCTCCACCCGCCGGAGCGCGGCGAATCCGGGGGACGTCGGACTGGAAGGGGGTCCGCAGCTGAGTAGTTTTAAAAACGTTAGGAAATCCTGAGCTGAAAGTCGTTTGAACTTTTTAAACAAGGATTTTGTTTATCCTTTTAAAAAAATGAAATAAAGTAATATATGTCGTCTTTTTCTTTCAAATTTCATGAAATCTCTTAACTGTTGGACGTAGTTGTGACTGAGTCCCAAGTTGTGCGATTTCAGAGGAACAAGAAACATTGGCAGTGTTACTTTGTCAGTACCATTGAACTCAGCAAGCCAAATCTCCCTTCCCTATAAATTTTTAAAAATAGCCGAAACGAGTTGTTGATATTGGACGTCAGTGATCATAAGTTGCAGCTTGACCCACTTAGATAATTTTTACCCGCTTTGACAAAAAAGCATCTTTAAAGTAAAAATTGTAACATATTAGCTATTATAGCAGCGCCTGACTTATTTTCAAGATAAATTTCAAGAAGTGCATTCAGGCTTTTCAATTCATGTAGAGTAACATTTTGTTATTGTAACTTTATTCTCCCTTTTGGAAAAGCAAACAGTGATAGTAAATAGCAAGTTGTCGCTTTTTTTTTTTTTTTAAGCTTTCAGTTAAATTTTTGCAAATCTTGTTATACAGCTGAAATGTTTAGTTGTAGTATTCAAGAAGTTATTTTGGTATTCCTAGAACACTGAACAGTTTTACTTCTCTCTTTCCATGACATAGGAAAATGTTTGCCCAATACTTTGTTTTTTTATTTATTTCTAAAATTGATATTAAAATGATACCTTGTTTGGTCAAGTTAAGAGTAAAGAAAATTTATAAATGAGAATTCCAACTCTTGCTGTGCTCATGGTGAAACCTTTCAAGATTTTTCAATCAACTTTGAATTTGAAAATAATTTTGACATTTGAATCAAATGCTGCTTTTGCATATTATGTAATTTTTTTCAGAAACAGGCATCTTGGTAATAAGATATTTGAATAATATGCAATTATTACAATTTTTTTAATTTTCTGGAGCTAGGAGTAAGAGAAAAAGATCTCCTGGGTTAAATAGAAAACTGCTATCTTACTAGCAGTTTTGCTTTATTAAATCCATTTTACTTTTTCACAAAACTGAAAAGGAAGTGTTAACTTGTCAGTATGTATGGTATTTAGTTTTAATAAAAAAGAGAAATGTCCTTTCCTTGCCACCAATCCTTGTGTAAACTATTGGTTTACAGAGAGGATCCTTGAAGTTTACTACTAGATAGGGGGAAACAAGGAGAAAAAAACCTAAAAACCCCAGGAGAGAAATGATGCCTTCTCCCAGAATCAAAATTAAGAATAGTCATATTTGGAAGACTTAGCAGTAAATGCCAATGGCCTTACAACGAACTTTAAGACTTTATACTTGACCTGGTTGAAGCCCCTGTTTTATATGCTACTCCATCTCTTGCTCGCTTTTTCTTAGACCAGACTGTCCTTTTTGTTATTTTGTCATGCGCTCTCTTGCTTTGTGTTTTTTCATTTGTTTGGGGTTTTTTGTTTGTTTGTATTTGTGGGGTTTTTTTGTTTTGTTTTGTTTTGTTTTGCATTTACTCTTCCCTGTGCCTCAAATGTTCTTCCCCTAGACAGCCTTGTGACTGGTTTAGGTCTCTGCTCAATATTCACCTGTTAATGAAGTCTGTTCTCTGACCATCCTACTTCTCATAGTCATCTCTCTCCTATCTCTCTACTAGTTTCTTAGCTCATTTTTCTTCAAGGTATTTTTAAAATTTGCCTTTTTTTCTCCCATAGTTTAAATTTATGAGGTCAAGGATGAATTAGGTCTGTGCATGCCAACATTCATATTAGCTCAAATAGTGTCTAGCACTTAGTAATTGTTTGCTGAATAGTTGTTGAATAAATGATGTTCATAAATTTTTATCTTTGTAGATTACTACAAAATCTTACATATAACTTAAAATATCGATAAAAAGTAAATAATACCTTTGCTTTAAAGGAGAGGCTATTGTAACAATAAGTTGGTGGAGATGAGATGGGAAAATATCAAAAGACATGTCTTTAGATTTGGTTTCCAATGTATTACTCAGTTTATATAAGATGTTACCTGAATTGTATTATGTCTTAAGTCTTTAAGACATTTTTATTGTTTCATGAAACAATAGTAAACAAAATCATTGTAAGGCGTAATGTTTGCACAAAATTTTGAATATTTTTCCAGAGTTTTGCAGTATTATAATACTGATTAAATTATATTGTAATATTTTTATGTCATTTTCACCATTAGACTTGTATGTTCCATGAGGTCAGATACCAGTGATATTTTTTTTTGTATGTGTTCCATTGCCTAGAAGAGTGCTAAGCAAATAATTGCCCCACAAACATTTTTAATTTCAAGTGAAAAGCAGTGTAACACTGTTATTCTTATTGTTTTCTTTAGGAATCAAAGTTTAAGGAAACAGGTGTTATCACTCCAGAAGAGGTGAGTGTTGAAGATACTCTCAAGAAAATATTTGAACTTTAATCTTTATTGAGTAAAATTAGATTGTTTGCTGTGTATTAGCAATATTATAGGGATTTTTTACTTCCTGTGTAACTTCCCTTTCACCTTTCCACTTCTCATATTTCTGGTTCCTCTTTATTTAGAAATGAGGGTGGGAGAGGGGATGGAAAAATTCCTAAGGTCACTTAATCCTTTATTAATGTTTGTATTAAATTGAACTGTGCAGTAAACACTGTTAATTGCCATCTCTTGCCTCTTCCTACACCAAACATCAGTTTTCATGGTTATCCATTTTAAATTTCACTTAATGCTTGCGTATTAAGTTTTTGTGCAGTAGTATATTCTTAACCATTCTTTCACTTTTTCTGCTAACCAAGTAATGTTGAATATGCTTAATGCTGAAACTAATATCTATTTTGTAGGATAATTGTGTTTTATTGAACTTTTAACATGGTGTTATGTTTTGAGGAATCGTTTTACTTATCCACCAAATCTATATAATAAAAAAGGTTCTCTTTGGGTGATTTTTTTTGTTATCCTTAAAGAAATAAATACTGGTCTAAAAACCCTTTTAGGTTCCAACTTTATGAATATAATTGCATCATATTTATTTTTGGCATAATATATTGCAAATAATTATTTGACAAAGAAATAAAGAAATGCTTTTTAAAAGCACCACTCATTTGCCATAGAATTTTATTCACTGTTTTTAAAAAAACATTTCAAAATAAGCCGTGTTGTACGATCTGACTGTTGCTGCACATTTCGGGACGTCAAGCCAGAAAATTAACTGTTTTCCATTTTCAGTTATAAATATCTCTAGTCCCAAATTCTTGGAAATTCTAAGAACAATGTGCTAAAGTGATTTTTGTGTTAAGTCTTAATTGTCTATTTTTAGTGGAGACACGATAGTATGGGAAGAATACAAGAGACCTACTTTCTGGATATGTATTTATCTGAAATCTCTTATTTTGATTCAGGCAAATCAGTTAACTTGCTAGGGAGAAATCTTATGTTTCCTCATCTATATAACGAGGGATTTTGGCTAGACAGTCTTCAAAGCACCCATTCTACCTTAGAAATTAGGAGTTTAATACCTTGAATGCCAGATAAATACCTTGAATGCCAGATAAGTTTTGATGTTAAGGATATCATTAACTTTCATACCAAACAAAGGTGTAATTTAGAAGTGACTTTTGAAACTAAGTAGCTGAAATCAACAACAGAGATGTAAGTGTGCTATCTTCATGCACTGACTATCTCCTTTGTGTGAACATGACTAATTGGTAAATAGATAGTTGGAGTGGGAGATTGAAGTCTGTGGTCATTGGATAGAATTAAGCAAACTTCTAAAACAGCTGTTAATCCTAGAATGAATGTTTGTTATACTTAATTGTGTCATTAAGTGGTTTGTGAATTTTCTTTTAAAAAAAAAAAAATGCAAGGTAAAACTATTTCAGCTGTGTACCAATCACATAATGTTGTATTGGGATAGAGCACAATTACAGGATTGAGTGAGATTAGACTGAATCTAGAGGAGGAAAATGAGAAGGCATCATTTACTTTGAATAAATACTAAGTTGATCTGTTCAATTTTTTTTTATCTTACTGTGTCTGGGTTTCTGGATTGCAGCCTCCAGCTATCTTACCCCCACACCCCCAAGTACTGTGTTTAAAGGAGTGACAGGCATTATCTAATATAATATTGTCTGACTTAAAGTCAGTGTGTGTATGACTTGATTAAGAAAAGTACTAGTAATGGAGGGTAGCTTGAGAAATATAGCTCATCA